TTCACCATACAGCAAAAGAAGGGCAGCACCCATGGCAACGCGGATGGGTTATCACGGCAGGTCGAGCCAGCAGAAGTCGGTTGCGTCAGGAGGGAACTTGTAGCTCACTCCTTGGCAACCACTTAAGGGGGAGGTGTGGCAAACTTGCTCATCAGAATTGGAGCGGAGTTCCCCCTCAACCCTCGTTTTCGTGTTCTGTCTGTGTATTTGAGGTCTTCCTGGAATCCTCACATCCCCCCTGCATTCCTGTGAGGCAGACTTTATCTCCTGGCAAATGGTGTGAAACAACCAGGAAGACATGAGAAGTGGAGCCAGCCAGTCGGCAGAGGTGTCATTTTTATCACCCAAAACTATGTAAGCCCACTCATTATCAAACGGACCAGAATAAGTGCCCAGTCCTCAGGTCAACTGTATGGTTCATATCACGGGATATGAAGCTAGTAATTTAGTGTAGAGTTCCCCAATGACCACTCCCAAGTCAGAGCCCCCCCCCCCTTTTGGCTTTTAAGACTTTTAAGTGAGTTTGTGACACACACACACAGGGATCTCCCAGCAACATCGTAACAAGGGGAGATCAAAGAAGCTTTCTGCTCACAACTTGAATTTGCTAAAACCAGGCAAGGCAAGTAACTTATCCTGTATTTTCCCGCTATTCTATGTTTGCTGTGTCTTTGTATACATATATATATTTTTGTGATATCTCTTTGTACATATTTATTTTGCATCCAACGCTTTTAGTAATAAATCTTTCTTTCTGAAAGTGTTAAACTGTTTCTAAGCGCTTACTTGCAATTCACGAATCCCTGCCTTTGAAGAGACGCTACTGTTTGTATATCTCTGTATAGCAGGTCCGCGGGCCGTGCTATATAGACCAATATTTCAATCATTATAGTGTATATTTAGTAACGGGAGTTTCCCAGTCTCCGACAAAAGTGGTGGTGGCAGTATAGGGTTAGTTGCGTAACTAACCTGACCCAGTAACAAGCGCATCCAGGCTGCAGGCACCGATTGTAGTCCATTAGCTGAGCAATCGCTGTGTAGGGTGCAGCTGGGTGGGGCCTTGTTACGCGCGTCACACCGTGGTTTTGGATCGGCCGGCCCTTCGGTCACGAGTTTGGTGAGAAGGTCTGGGGTCTGACGCCGTGGGCGTGACGTATTACTGTTAGTCGCGGCTGTGCGATTGTCGCCTGTTGGTGGCGGCGACCGCGGGTCGTGACAAGTTCCACCCAGCATCAGTTAGTGTCAGATTTCCTGCCGCACTATTGCTGTCCCACTATAGGTCGCTGATTATCACCATTACTAGTATATCCCATAGTTTGTAGACACCACAACTTTCAAATGAGCCAATCCATATGTTTCCCTTCGGGAGAGCCCCCTTACCAAGTACTTGGTGGCTGGCTTAGGCTAGCCACAAGCAAAAGAGTCTGCCAGGCCTTTTGGCTAGGTGGACCACATGAGAACCTTAGTCTCTGTCAGGAGCTTCTTGCCCGGGGGATCAGGGTAGAGGTCCTACCCCTTCGGGGGGTGGACAAAGCACACCGCTAAGTGCACTTTTTTGTGTTGGTTTTGCACTAGCACGTTTTTGTTCACTTACGGGTTTTCGTTTTTCGAACTTCCGCGGACTTCAAAAAAAAAAAAATCCATATGTACTTATTGGATTTTTTTTGTTTAACTGAAGGGGTGGTACCTAAAAAATAAATTCACACCACGCCTTGAATCAGAACATGCAGCCTAGCAGGCCAGGAGCGAAAGGGGGAAGCACCTTGTCCCTATGTCGATAAAGACAAGGGCTTCTTCCTCACAACCCTGGCTCGTGATTGTTGGGGGGAGGGGGGGACGACTTGCTGGAATCTGAATAAGGCACTGAACGACCCTCCCCCCACATGAATGAGTAGGAGGTACATAGAGCCCCTACTCATTCACAGAAAAAAAAAATGTCACCTAGAATAAAGCTACCCAAATGTTTTTCAAGTCCTTTTTTAATTAAAAAAAAAAAAGTAAAAATCCCAAAAATACCTTTGGTAGAAAATCCATCATCAATCACTATGCCCGACAACTTGTAGAAAAAAAAAAAACATCGACCTGGTGGACGCAACCAATCCTAATGGTACCAATAGCCAAACGACGGCTCCCCGAGCTGTCATCAAGTATATAAAGGCAGGGGGTGGGGGGGTGGTGACATCATTGCCCAGATACACCCTATTGGCTGATGTGGCCGGAGTTCCTGATGACATCAATGGTTCCTAGGGATGCAGAGGGTGCAAGGACTTCTTCAGGAACCAGTAACAGTGGGAAGCCGTTCTATACAGAAACGGTAGAACTTCTATATGCGATGGCTCCCGGAAAACAGGACAGACGGGCAAAGGTTCAAGTGTGAGACTGAAGGCCAAACCGCAAGATCATTCCGAATTATCCCCGTCTCAGATATTCATCCTAACGTATTGTCATGTATTCACCCCAGACCAGAGACCTTCATCGATGGTGCCACACGTGAGGATGGAGAAGGACCCGAGTCACATGACTGAGAGGATACTAAACCTCACCCTGGAGATCATCTACCTGCTGACCGGAGAGGTGAGGAGGATTCTGGGAGGTCACATGACATCACTCTTATCTCTATTAATAAAACAGACCTGACCGGAGAGGTGAGGAGGATTCTGGGAGGTCACATGACGTCACTCTTGTCTCTATTAATAAAAAAGACCTGACCAGAGAGGTGAGGAGGATTCTGGGAGGTCACATGACGTCACTCTCGTCTCTATTAATAAAACACAGACCTGAGCGGAGAGGTGAGGAGGATTCTGGGAGGTCACATGACATCACACAGACCTGACCAGAGAGGTGAGGAGGATTCTGGGAGGTCACATGACATCACTCTTATCTCTATTAATAAAACAGACCTGACCGGAGAGGTGAGGAGGATTCTGGGAGGTCACATGACGTCACTCTTGTCTCTATTAATAAAACACAGACCTGACCGAAGAGGTGAGGAGGATTCTGGGAGGTCACATGACGTCACTCTTGTCTCTATTAATAAAACACAGACCTGACCGGAGAGGTGAGGAGGATTCTGGGAGGTCACATGACATCACACAGACCTGACCGGAGAGGTGAGGAGGATTCTGGGAGTCTAACATGATGTTCCTATTGGTTCCCCAATACAGAGATTCCCTCTTCTGAAGTCAGGTGATCATATGACCATCACAGTGCCTCCATGTGACTCCCTAAACCCTGAGAGACACAACATGCAGAAGATTCTAGAAGTCACCAAGAAGATGATGGAGCTGCTGACAGGAGAGGTGAGCAGTGCCGGGAATTCTGGGACATTCTCCAGTAACAGACAAGGGATGTGTCTGGATGGTGACTGTATCATTGTGTGTGTCAGGTTCCTATAAGGTGTCAGGGTGTCACTGTCTATTTCTCCATGGAGGAGTGGGAGTATTTAGAAGGACACAAGGACCTCTACAAGGACGTCATGATGGACACACAGGAAGGTCACACCATCTCTCACCATCATCAGGTAGATGAGGAACAATTATCAGTAGTTATGATTTATACACAGCATGTTTGTTACAATGAATGGTTTAATACTTATTTAGCATGGAAACCTCGGGGATTATAATATTGTTCCGAAAGAAGAGTATAAAGAGGAGGATGAGGAGTATGGAGTGATGGAGGAACTTTCAGAAGGACACAAGGGCATGATGATGGAGCCTCCTAATACCAGGAACCTACCAGAGAGATGTCCCCGTCCTCTGTATTCCCGGGATTCCTCACAGGAAGGTCACACCATTCCTCACCATCAGGTAGATGGATCCAGTCATCGGAACCTACCAAAGAGATGTCCCCGTCCTCTGTATTCCCGGGATTCCACACAGGAAGGTCACACCATCTCTCACCATCATCAGGTAGGTGGAGTTGAGGGTCGGGAACATAAAGTGATAGAACACTCTGACATGTGGAGACGATGTGTGGACTCTACAAGATGAGATGTTCTATGTGATCTCACATCATAGATCCTTCTATGTTACAGATGTTATTTTCTGCCATTCTGTTGGTTTAGGGTGAAGATCTGATGAACATGAAAGTTGAGGGTGAAGTAGAAGAGAGACGTATGTGAGGGATGATCAGCAATATACGGAGGAGGCTGGAATGAGGAGGACATTCATAGAGGAGGACACTCCTACAGAGATCAGCACAGGTGACCAGAATATATTCTTCTCTTATCTCTGCTCTTTTACCGCCCCCCCCCCCCCCCCCCCAGCCCCCATTGGTTCCTGCTCCTCTGACAAGGCGGTGTAAATGTAGAAGTGATCTGGGAGGACCAAAGGCCCTTTGACTGAAGAGGGGAAGAGTCCCAGCTGGTTGGGACATCCACAGAGAACATCTGCTCCCTCCTATCTCCCTGAACCAGATGGAATCTTGATGGAAGTGAACTAACCCTCTCCTATCTATTGATGTTTTTCTATTTTTCCAGGACCCGCCATGGAGAAACCCTCAAAGGATCGTCTCACTTTATCTCCAGGTTGTAAAATGGAAGATGAGGACATCCCAGGAGATTGTGCCGGAGAAAAGACAATGAGCTCCACTATGGATGGTGGACTTCCCAGTGTGGAGAGACCATGGAATCCCTCTGACTCTGAGCAACCTCGTACTGTGGGGGATGGGGCCGTGGTTCAGGGGGAGAAGACATTTCCCTGTCCTGAATGTGCGGAAAGTTTTAGCTCTGAATTAAATCTTTCTGTACATCAGCGATTCCACGTAGAGGAAAAGCTTTATTCCTGCCCTGAGTGTGGGAAACGCTTTATGCGCAAACCCGATCTCACTGCACATACCAGGTCTCACACAGGGGAGAAGCCCTATTCCTGCCATAAATGCGGGAAATGTTTTTCACAGAGGTCCTATCTTAGTAGACATCAGAGTTCACACACGGGTAAAAAGCCATATTCCTGCCCTGAGTGCGGAGAAATGTTATACAAGGAAATCAGAACTTGTTTTATATAAAAGATCTCACACGGGGGAGAAGCCATTTTGCTGCCCTAAGTGCGGGAAATGTTTTTCACATACGTCCAATCTTTCCAGGCATCTGAGATTGCACAGAGGTGTGAAGGCATATTCCTGTGCTGAGTGTGGAAAACGTTTTTCACAAAGGTCGCTTCTTAAGGAACATCAGATATGGCACATGCGGGAAAAGGTGTTTACCTGTCCTGAGTGCGGGAAATTTTTTCCACGGAAATCAGAACTTGTTAGACATCAAACATCGCACACAGGCGAGAAGCCGTATCCCTGCCCTGAGTGCGGGAAATGTTTTTCCCAGAAGTCCAATCTTACTAAACATCATCTAGTATTGCACACGGGGGAGAAGCCATTTTCCTGTCCTGAGTGCGGAAAATGTTTTTCACGCAAGTGTAATCTTAACAATCATCAGAGATTGCATACGGGTGAAAAGCCATATTCCTGCCTAGAGTGCGGAAAATGTTTTTCACGCAAGTGTAATCTTAACAATCATCAGAGATTGCATACATACGGGTGAAAAGCCATATTCCTGCCAAGAGTGCGGAAAAATGTTTTTCACGAAAGCCAAGTCTCACAGAACATCAGGTATCTCACAGAGTGGAAAAGGTGTTTTCCTGTCTTGAGTGCGGGAAATGCTTTTTGTTAAAATCAAAACTTATTATACATCAAAGATCTCACACGGGGGAGAAGCCATTTTGCTGCCCTAAGTGCGGGAAATGTTTTTCACATACGTCCAATCTTTCCAGGCATCTGAGATTGCACAGAGATGTGAAGGCATATTCCTGTGCTGAGTGTGGAAAACGTTTTTCACAAAGGTCGCTTCTTAAGGAACATCAGATATGGCACATGCGGGAAAAGGTGTTTACCTGTCCTGAGTGCGGGAAATTTTTTCCACGGAAATCAGAACTTGTTAGACATCAAAAATCGCACACAGGCGAGAAGCCGTATCCCTGCCCTGAGTGCGGGAAATGTTTTTCCCAGAAGTCCAATCTTACCAAACATCTAGTATTGCACACGGGGGAGAAGCCATTTTGCTGTCCTGAGTGCGGAAAATGTTTTTCACGCAAGTGTAATCTTAACAATCATCAGAGATTGCATACGGGTGAAAAGCCATATTCCTGCCTAAAGTGCGGAAAATGTTTTTCACGAAAGCCAAGTCTCACTGAACATCAGGTATCTCACAGAGGAAAAGGTGTTTTCCTGTCTTGAGTGCGGGAAATGCTTTTTGTTAAAATCAAAACTTATTATACATCAAAGAACTCACACGGGAGAGAAGCCATTTTGTTGCCCTGAGTGTGGGAAATGTTTTTCACAGCAGGCCAATCTTACCAAACATCAGATCAGATATTGCACACAGGCGAGAAGCCGTATTCCTGCCCAGAGTGCGGAAAATCTTTTTCTCAAAAGTCCCATCTCAATGAACATCGGGTATGTCACGCTGTGGAAAAGATGTTTTCCTGCCCTGAGTGCGGGAAATGTTATTCCCGGAAATCAGGCCTTGCTAAACATCAGAGATCTCACACAGGAGAGAAACCACATTCCTGCCCTGAGTGCGGGAAATGTTTTTCACAGAAACACATACTATTCATCTTCGATTGCACACGGGGGAAAAACCGTATTCCTGCCCTGAGTGCGGGAAATGTTTTTCCCAGAAGTTCCATCTCACTAATCATCAGATGCGTCACACGCAGAAAAAAATGTTTTCGGTCCTGTGTGAGGGAAATCTTATCCATTTAAATGTAAAAACCTCTTAAACATAAAAAGATCCCACAGAGGGGAGAAGCCGTGTTGCTGCCCTAAGTGCGGGAAATGTTCTTCACAGAAATCTTGTCTTACCAAACATCAGAGAACCCACACCACCCTCGAGGTGTATTAGTGTCCTGAGTGCGGGAAATGTCTTCCTATGGATGATATGTTGCCATACATCAGAGATCTCACACTGGGAAGAAGCACACCTTGATATACACCTCAGAAAACACGTGGCTGAGCGCTCCTCTGATCTTTATCATGGAAGAAACACTTTATAAGGAGATCAGAGACCTGGTTGGGTCCCTCTAGCAGTGTAGTCTGATCTCCCCTGACCTTCAGCAGAAGCTTCCATGGAGGACATCATAGAGGGGGGGGGTCACTGCTGGTTGGGTCCCTCTAGCAGTGTAGTCTGATCTCCCCTGACCTTCAGCAGAAGCTTCCATGGAGGACATCATAGTGGGGGGAGGGGGGGTCATTGCTGGTTGGGTCCCTCTAGCAGTGTAGTCTGATCTCCCCGGACCTTCAGCAGAAGTTTCTATGGAGGACATCATGATGAGAGAGAAGGGGGGAGGGTCACTGCCTGCTGGTTGGGTCCCTCTAGCAGTGTAGTCTGATCTCCCCTGACCTTCAGCAGAAGCTTTCATGGAGGACATCATGGTGAGAGAGGAGCTAGATATTGCTTGTGGATGAAGAGAAGGGGAGATCAGACTACATGACAATTGTAGAGCTGCAGTTATCAGCCTGGCATTTTCAGTTGTAACATTTCAATTACCTGATTATATCGCATGTATATTAAAGCAGATGAAGAAGAAGAATCTGTCTTCAGAAAATCTTGTTTTTCCTTTCACTTTATTCCTTTCTCTAACACTACAAGTACGGCCCATCCTGTAGGTTTTAGTCTCCATCTTATGTCTTAGTAGTTTGGTGTTCCCAGCTTGTCCTTGTTGGAACAAGATCTATATAGAGGAATCGGGACCTCCTTCCTCCTGCCAGTGATCCCTCTAGTGATATAAAGGTCTATATAGAGGAATTGGGACCTCCTTCCTCCTGCCGGTGACCCCTCTAGTGATATAAAGGTTTATATAGAGGAATCGGCCTCCTGCTGGTGATCCCTCTAGTGATATAAAGGTCTATATGGAGGAATCATGACCTCTTTCCTCCTGCTGGTGACCCCTCTAGTGATATAAAGATCTGTATAGAGGAATCAGGACCTCCTTCCTCCTGCCGGTGACCCCTCTAGTGATATAATGTCTATATAGAGGAATCAGGACCTCCTGTCGGTAACCTCTAGTGATTAAAGATCTATATAGAGGAATCAGGACTCTTTCCTCCTGCTGGTGACCCCTCTAGTGATATAAAGATTTATATAGAGGAATCGGGAATGACCCCTCTAGTGATATAAAGATCTATATAGAGGAATCGGGACCTCCTTCCTGCTGGTGATCCTTCTAGTGATATAAAGATCTATATAGAGGAATCGGGACCTCCTTCCTCCCGCCGGTGACCCCTCTAGTGATATAAAGGTCTATATAGAGGAATCGGGACCTCCTTCCTCCCGCCGGTGACCCCTCTAGTGATATATAGATCTATATAGAGGAATCGGGATCCTCCTTCCTCCGGTGGACCCCTCGGTGACCCCTCTAGTGATATAAAGGTCTATATAGAGGAATCGGGACCTCCTTCCTCCCGCCGGTGACCCCTCTAGTGATATAAAGATCTATATAGAGGAATCAGGACCTCCTGCCGGTGACCCCTCTAGTGATATAAAGGTCTATATAGAGGAATCGGGGCCTCCTTCTTCCTGCCGGTGACCCTTCTAGCTGGGTTCCCAGAATGAGTAAGTAGCCCCAAGCTGGATCTGAAGGACATTGGCCATGAACCATTATGTGGGAGCAGGCCATATATACCCCCCCATCCCCTGGAAGTGGTGAGTATTCTCATTGGCTGTGGAGTAAGAAGGAGCTCTGAGGGAGTGCAGTTAAGGTGAGCCTAAGTGGGTTTGTCAATACCCTTTGCAAAGGAAATGTTGCTTTGCCCTGCACGGGCAAGGTGAATGTGTATCTCAAGGTTGAAGGATGTGCCATTGATACTCATAAATCTCTGGCGAGGAAAAAATGTGAAAATGTAAAAATTAAACTCCTGGTATCCACACGGCCACCAGCATTGGCTTAACATATGAAAAAAACCCAACTCAGAGCCCCTTTTATGCATCTAAATCAGGGGTGTCAAACTGCCGGCCTACAAGTCCCATCATGCCTCTGCCTTTGGGAATCACACTTGTAGCTTTCAGCCTTGCAATGCCTCATTGGGACTTGTAGTTTGGCAACAGCTGGAGGGCCACCAGTTTGACACCCCTGATCTAAATGGTCACCTCATTCCATTCTTCTATGTAAGGATGGTATGTGCTTCTTCCAGTGTCCCACCACACCACAGACTGCTTGACATAATCATTCCCTATTGGCTGTCCAGCATCGGGGTCCTTTTATGCTGCAGAAGATTAGTCTGCAGTGATGATTTCAGCAAGAGGAGGCCGCCAGGGTCGGCACAGCACAGGCACATTTATGTTGTTGGATTACCAGTCCTACAAGGGTCATGGTGGGTCATGTATACAATGGATGGCATGGCAGGAAGCCATCCATTGTATACAATTGACATGTGATCTGCTGTGATTGGTCACAGCGGTCACATGATACTGGCAACGGACTGGTGTAGTGATATGTCAATGGTGAATGTCCCGCCCGGCCGTCAATCTGCTATAGACCGGGCGGGAAGGTGTTAAAAAAAAAAAATGGGGTTATAGCTGATAGCTTCAGTCATAACCCTGGTATACACACTTTAAAACCGCAACTTGAGGTCGGCAAGTGGTTATGGTCATGCCACGGCACCTCAATCAGATTTAAGTCCGGACTTTGACTAGGCCACGCCAAAACCCTAATTTTTTTTTTTTAACCATTCAGAGGTGGACTTGCTGGTGTGTTTTGGATCATTGTCCTGCTGCAGAACCCAAGTGCGCTTGAGCTTGAGGTCAGGAACTGATGGCCGGACGTTCTCCTTCAGGATTTTCTGGTAGAGCTCAGAATTCACGGCTCCATTAATTATGGCAAGCCGTCCAGGTCCTGAAGCTGCAAAACAGCCCCAGACCTTCACACTACCACCACCAGGTTTCACTGTTGGTTTGATGTTCTTTTTTATGAAATGCCCTTTTAGTTTTACGCCAGAGGTAACGGGACACACACCTTCTGAAAAATTCAAGTCCACCGAATATTCGCCCAAATGTCTTGGGGATAGTCAAGATGTTTTTTGGCAAATGTGATATGAGCCTTTGTGTCGTTTTTGGTCAGCAGCAGCTTTGACCTTGGAACTCGTCCATGTTTGCCTGGTCTCTCTTATTGTTGAATCATGAACACCGACCTTATCTGAGCCAAGTGAGGCCTATAGTTCTGTAGATGTTGTTTTGGCTTCTTTTCTGACCTCCTGGATGAGCCATCATTGTGCTCTTGGAGTCATTTTGGTCTGCAGGACACTCCTGGGAAGGTTCACCACTGTTCCAAGTTTTCTCAATTTGTGGATAATGGCTCTCACTGTAGTCTGTTGGACCCCCAAAGCCTTAGAAATGGCTTTGTAACCCTTCCCAGACTGATATATGTCAATGACTTGGTTTCCCATCTGTTCTTGAATTTCTGTAGATCGCGGTATGATGTGTTGCTTTTTGAGGACAGAAGTTGCAAACAGAATGAATTTGCACAGACATACCATCAAGGAACATAAAGAAGATGACCTCTGCACACCTGTAGGACACCATTTCACACAACCAGGCCACACAATGGGAGACCTCAATGTTTTAATTCTGAAAGGAAAATTCAAATCCATTCAGGAAAGAAAAACATTTGAACTAAGAATGATAATTCTATTTGACACAAGAGATAACGGCCTTAATTTGGACATGGGATTCCTCAATCATTATCCTACAGTTTTATGACTATTAGCTAAAGCTTGACTCCCTCTGTGTGAATGTAGTATCCCCCCCCCCCTCCCTCCTCGCTTTTGCTGTATCTTATTTGTAGCCTTTTTTGTTTTTTTTTTTTTTTTCATCCCTTCTAACATTCTGCTTAAACTTTGTGATTTGTAATAGTTCTGCTTGGACTTTGAAGAAGGGGACATACCTCGAAAGCTTGTCCTCCAAATTGTATGTTAGTGCAAATAAAAAAAGTATCACGGACAGTACTGAATTGTTTCTGTCGCAAATGCACTAATACGGCTACAATCACCTCAAGCAAAATGGAAGATACTGCATATAGCTGCATAAAGAAGCAGTTAACTAACCTAATCACAAAGGAAACACAGATCAACAGTGATATTTTCTTTCTCTCAAGATGCAAAAAGAGGAATCTCATACCACAAGGCCTCCGGATTAAAAATCCTTGCATAAATACAATCAACTCTCCTTATGCAGAAGGACTTTGCAGACGCACCAGTGAGAGATTAAGGAATCACCTCATTCACAAACTGTATGGAAAAAGGGTAACTATCCAGATACAAAAGCAGTCTTTGTTTGAAACCCTAACATCGTTGGACCTACCAACATTAACCAAATCAAGAATGAATTGGAAACTTTACAAAGACAAACACAAAAACTTGCCAAGAATGGGAAGCAAAAAAAACAGAAGCTGCACCAAGAGCAGACCTTTTGGATACAACCTAAACATAAAAGCAACCCAACATCTATACCTCCTACTATCAATGACCTGCAATCTAATCCGGAATCCCAAGGTATCCCTTGTGTAAATGCTGACCTGACTGAAAATGTGGATATTACAGAGGAACTTGGAATCATCAACTTGTCAAAGCATAAACTGTCCGAACCAGAATTAACCATCCTCTCCAAAGGCCTTACATTCTGCCCAACCACCAAATTGGATCATTTACAAGTATTGTCAGATATGGAGGATTTCTTCAGGAGACTAAGGCTCAAAGAATATTTCCACAATAATGAAAGGAATCCTAG